TGGGAGGTACAGCTGATACCCTGGCAAGGTGGTGGTCTACCTCACTGCAGTGAGTTCTAATAAATATATTTGGCTTTGCTGTATTAAATGACTGTTTTGTGATATTTGAGGTAGTTCAACAAAAGAGAATGTCAACGGTGTTCTACACGTTCAGAGAAACTTCTCTAATAACAAACTATAGAAATGATCCCTGCAAGTAGAGTCTTAATAACTCTTCTTTTTATGTTGTTGCCAAAATGTGCAGTCAGTATATCCTTAAAATCATTCAGTTTAATTTTATTGCCCATTGTGCTGGAAGCATTTCCTCTCCAGAGGCATCCCTCCAGGAGCCTCCATTTTTTGCTTTAATCCCTGGCAGTTTCTCTGCTGTGCAACCCTTATTCACTCCATTCCTCAGTTATCACCACTGATTTCTGAATCTCATGTTTTCCTTCTTCATGGTTTACATCCTCATTTTGCTGGAATACATACTTTAGTATCTTCCTTAGAAACAATATGGGGGAAGTAAATTTTCTGAACTCTTATCTGAAGGAGCTCTGTCACCCAGGCTGGAATGAGAGGGTGATCTCTGCTCACTGCAACTTCTACCTCCTGAGCTCAAGTGATCCTCCCACCACAGCCTCCCAAGTAGCTGGGATTACAGGCATGCACCACCACACCTGCCTAATTTTTGCATTTTTAGTAGAGACAGAGTTTCACTACATTGGTCAGGCTGGTCTTGAACTCCTGACTTCATAAGATCTGCCTGCCTTGGTCTCCCAGAATGCTGGGATTACAGGTGTGAGCCATTACACCTGGCCTCAAGTGATCCTTTTGCATTGATCTCCCAAAGCGCCAGGAGTACAGGCATGAACCACCATGCCTGGCCCTTAAATCTATTACATTTTTAATTTTAGTGATCATATTTTTAATTTCCAAAAGTTCTTCCTTGTTCTTGGATTTTTTTTTTTTTTTTCACAGCACCTTGTTTTATAGATAGAATATTCTTCTTGGATGTATCTGGAGCTACTAATCAGTGTTTTCTTCCAAATTCTCTCTGTATCCTGATTTATATGTTTCTTCCAGCCTGGGTTGTTCTGTTTCTATTTATGCATGTATTTGTTTATTTGTTGCTGGTTTTCATCACACATCGGGTGACCTTGGTTGTAGGCATGGATTTCCCCGGCTGCCATGCGTTTAGGTCTTTCTCCCTGCTGGGGCCCTACCTTGATGAGAAGTTGTGAGTGCTGTTGATTCTTGAGCAGGGCTTCATTTGGGGTGCAAACGTCCAGCCCTGGTTTTCCTTGGTGTATTCAGATCTTGTAGAGAAGCATTCCGAGGCTTTCTTTCCTTCTCTTTTCCTCTGTGTTATGTTCTCCATTTTCTGTTCTATGTTCCAGACATTTATGTGAACCTTTCATCTACTTAGGGTCCCCTCCCAACTTCTCTTTGCTTACAGGAATTTATCCACTTTCCCCCTTTACTATGCTTTCTTTTTTTTTTGAGATGGAGTCTCGCTCTGTCGCCCAGGCTAGAGTGCAGTGGTGCCATCTCAGCTCACTGCAAGCTCCGCCTCCCGGGTTCACACCATTCTCCTGCCTCAGCCTCCCTAGTAGGCAGAACTACAGGTGCCCATCACTATGCCCGGCTAATTTTTTTGTATTTTTGGTAGAGACGGGGTTTCACCATGTTAGCCAGGATGGTTTCGATCTCCTGACCTCGTGATCCGCCCGTCTCGGCCTCCCAAAGTGCTGGGATTACAGGCGTGATTTACTATGCTTTTAATAGGATCTTGGAGAGGAGGGAATGAGAGGAAAGAAAATGTGCCTAACGTGCCGTTAAAAAACAACAACAACAACAACAAAACCTTAGAAGTTAGTTTTCACATGTTTCAAAATGATCATTGTAGAAAAGTGAGAAAATATAAACAGTCAAATAAAAATGACCTGTTCTTTTATCACCCAGAAATTACATTGTTAATGTTTTAAAACATGTTCTAGTTCCTTTTTCTATATATTTTTATAACAATGGGATCATACCAGATGTGTTCTGTTTTCTAATATGCTTCTTAAAACTAAGCAAAAGCTTCTAAACATCTTTCCATGTCACAACATATCCCTTACAATATTCTGAGACCTAGTATTTATTGAAAGCTATATCACTTATTTAACCCATCCTCTAGTTTTAGACGTTAGGTTGTTTCTGATTTCCACTATTCTAAACAAGCATTTATAAAAATGTTGGGCTAAATCTTCCCTCATAGCCTTGACTATCTACTTTGGGTAAAGTCCTCATAACGGAGTTGCTGGGTGACAGTATATGCACCCCCATCCACGGGCCAGCATTCAGGGTTCTCTGTGAAATACACTCCTCTACTTTCACTTTCTGGTTCCAAACTGTCACTTCACTGCCCTTCACTTGGATTCTGTGAAGCATTATGGCAGAGGCATTGAGAGCATAATTTTCAGAGTCAGACAGACCAGGGTTGAATCTTAGCTTTGCCACTTATTAAATGTGTGACCTTAGACTGTTTTAATTAACCTCTTTGAGCACTTTTCTATAATATGAGGAAATAATTCTACTTTTCTGATGAGGTTGTTATGAGAATTAAACAGGATGAAAAAGTGCCTGTAAAGCACTTGACACAGGCCCAGGCAGGTTGAAAGTGTTCGCAAATCATGGTGTTAGATTCATTCCCGTCCCTAAGCCCGTTCGAATCCCTCTTTCAAGGCCACATTCAAGCTGCACCCCCTCTACGGGGCTTTCCTGACCAGGGGAGCCCATCACACTGAGTTGTTATGGCACTTGTGGGCTGGATCCTCATCCGATGTTCAGAACACCCTGTCATGTTGTTTTCATATATTTGTTTGTAAGGGAAGAGGCAACACCCCCACCTCACCATGTAGCACAGTGCTGTGGGTCCCTTATGGATTCATTCATTGTCATTAGTGTTCTTGCAGAAGAGAGGTGATGATGAAAAGGAGCTTGTGACTCCATGTCAGTGGCATCAGGATTGGTTTTTTTGGAGTTTATTTCAAACCCTTTGGTAGCTCAGGGGCTTGGAGGATGGTACCTGACCCCAGGGACACAGGAAGCTCCCATGGAATCAGTGGGCAGCAGAGGCAGGGAAAGCCACTGAGCAGGAGGCTGCCAGACCTTTGTAACACTGAGCCTCTCCAGGGCATTGTCCCAGCTCAGCACGCAGCGCAGGACCTCTGTGTGCCTTGCAAGCCGCCTTCCTCCCCCTGGTTGCTTTGCGCTGAGCGGTAGGATGCTTTTGGAGCCGGGAGGGCTTTCCTCCTGAGCCTCCTCCAACCCACAAAGGTCCCTTTCATGCCACAGGGATGCCTCCCTAGTTGCCAGGGGAGATGGAAAAGCAGCCTGTGCGCAGAGCTGCAGCTGGAGGGCTTGCTGTGGGACAGCTTCCAGTAGAGGGTCCGGGAGGAGAGGAAGGGGCAGCCCTCGGGAAGGTGATGCGTGGAGAAGGCTGCTCACCCTATTCCCCATCTGGGTGTCTTTCAGGAGTCATGGCCGGTTTCAACATGGGGGGCGACCTCAGGGAGCCTGCCGCCAGCATCCCCCTGGGCTCCCTGGCAGCTGTTGGCATCTCGTAAGTTCCCCTCATGGCAATCAGTCCGAGCAGGAGAGTGGGAGAGAGAACCCAGGCAGAAGAGGGATTGCCCCTTTTGTTCTGAGAGTGCCCCGACTGCGACCAGTCTATTTCGTATTCTGATCCTTCTTTTAACACTCGGTGGGCTGGAAAATTCATGTCTGGTGGGTTCAGACACTGCCCTTTCATGCGCCCTGCCTGGGAATGCTGCCGAGGAGGAGTGTCAGGACCCAGATCACAGATCAAATCCTTTCTTTCCTTTCCTCGGCCTCCCGCCCCCGTCCCTCCTCAACCCCCATTTTGAACTTGGGGATTTTTTTAACCACCGAGTTTCCAGGATCCCTGGAGGGAGCATAAAAATGAAGAGTTTTGCAGTCAGACAAATTCTGGTTTGCCTCTCACCTCTGCCGCTGATTGGCTGCGTGACTCTGGATAATTTACTGAGTTCTCTGAGCCTCCATTTCCTTTCCTGCGAAATGGGGATGATGACAGTATATGTGCTTCATAGACTGTGGGGGAGAGAGTAGAAGGCACACAGTGGAAGCTCAGCACCCAGCTCTCCTTCTTCCCCCAGTGAGCCTCCCCTCCTACTCCCCCAGGCCATCAGGCCTCTGGGGTTTTAGTTCACACTGTGCCACCCACACAAGCAGGCTGGGTGACTCTGGGTCTATTTCTGAATTTTTAGAATATTGTTTCTCTCTGTACCACAGGAAGAAGCTTCTCTGCCCTTCATTGGGTGGGTGTGAAGAGGCAATGAGATCAGAGACCAGAGACAATGACTTGAGAAGTTAAAAGGGCCTGTGTTATTGTAACCACAGTATTTAGAAAATATTAGTGTATCTGTTTCACAAACACTGAATTTGCCCTTAGCTTATTGCAGTGACACCTTTGCTATCAGCCTGGAATACAGCATCAGGGTATTTTGTGCAAAACAAGGCAATAACTTTGGGAAGAAAATGAAGACAACAGAGATAGAATTGAGTGTTGGGAAGGAAATAAAAGAAAGAGGCTTCTGTATGAGGACCCTGTCTTGTTTCTGGTCCCAGCTGGGAGGTTCCAGGATGAACCCTTGGCCCATCCTGTTACTACCCGGATGGGAGTGAGGAGACCACAGGAACCTGGGTCTTGTTCAAGGTTACAGGGCATCTTGGGGACAGAGCCAGGCCTCTGCTCTCTGCCTTTTGACTTTAGTTTCCCTCTTTATTATCTGATCCAAAGATAACAGACCAGCAGGACTTAGAGGCCTGAAGGATCATCAGCCTGTTCTTTTGCTGGAGGAGGCTGGGATGTGAGGCTGTGGGGCAGCCCCGGCCCGAATCCTGACAACCTACAGGCAACTGGGCCTCCTGCTTCCCTACTTGGAATGCCTGTTGTGTGGTTTTCTTTTTTAATGTAATAAAGAGAAAAAACAGTGCTCACTTCAGCAATACATATACTAAAATTAAAACAATACAGAGATTTGTGTGGCCCATGTGCAAGGATGACATGCAAATTCATGAAGCATTCCATATTTTTATATACATTTAAAAGTAAAAAAATAAACAAAACAATGGTACCCCTTTTTTGGTAAGAAATATGCCAGAAGAGAAACAGTACAAAAAGTGTCCTCCCAAGCCAGCTGGGGAAGCTTCATGACTGGCCTTTCTCTCATTCTGAGACAGGTTCCCTTTGGAAACAGAAGGTTGAGTTGGGGGACTGGATGGGGCTGGGTGAGGTGAGTGGGGGGCAGCTCTGTTCTGCTCTTGGGTTTTCAGGTGGTTTCTGTACATTGTCTTCGTTTTCCTCCTGGGCGCCATCTGCACGCGAGAGGCCCTTCGCTATGACTTCCTGATAGCGGAAAAGGTGAGTGAGGCTTGCGCTGCTCGAAGGGCTCAGTCTGCTGGAGTTATTTGTTTGTTCTCACCAACAAACGGCCACTTTCCCCTTGCAGTACTGTCTGGGAATCCATGTAGTCGTTTAAAAATTTAATTAATTTATTTTTTGAGACAGGGTCTCACTTTGTTGCCCAGGCTGGTGTGCAGTGTGGCAATCTCAGCTCACTGTAGCCTCAACCTTCCAGGCGCAAGCAATTCTCCTGCCTCAGACTCCCAGGTAGCTGGGACTACAGGGGCATGCCATCATGCTGGGCTAATTTGTTTTTAATTTTTTGGTAGAGATGAGGTCTCACTGTGTTGCCCAGCCTGGTCGTAAACACCTGGCCTCAAGTGATCCTCCCGCCTTGGCCTCCCAAAGTGCTGGGATTACAGGCTTGAGCCACCATGCCCAGCCTCCCTATAGTCTCTAGTCCAGGAATGGTGTTGGGTTGTGATGGGGAAGAGAGATGGTGGAAAAGGTACAGGCTCTGCTTAGGGATTTCGAGAAACAGATAACGATGCCCAGAGAGATTCACAAACATGAGGGCCTAGATAATGGTGACATCTCTTCCTGTCAAAAATCAGGACAGAAACAGAAGAATTTGTTCACCCCAAATTCCCAGCTAAGCAAGTGCCTCACTTTTGCTAAGAGCTTCACCTTGCATGATGAATAGAATGTGCTGTTCAGAAGTGGCAAGTGGAGGAGGAGGAGGCTGGGAACAGGCAGAGGTGGAGGGAGAGGGAGGAAGCCCAGCGCCAGGGTGAGGGCCAAGGCCCTCCTTGTCCCTGAGGTCCTTGACCCCTTTTGCTTTCCTGAGAATCTCAGATACTGTGGGTTGATTTGGCTGCAACATCTTTGTTTCTAGAGTCCGCGCCCTGCCAGGAGAGGATTAATGAATTCCTGGCGTTCCTCCGTTAGCAGGCTGGAGGTCATGTGACATCAAGGACATTTATTTGGCATCCTAGAATCCACATAAGATTTCCAGATATTTTTCTGGAAATCCCCAAAAACTCCTACCCTCCTTTAAGTTCTTGGAGAAAAAGTAGACCCTGAGATTCCCATCATTTTTCAGAGAAATGTAGTTGGTTAGGGAGTTTTTCTGTTAACTCCTGAGTATTGCTGCTTATATTTTATGTATTTTTAAATTTAATTTAATATTTTAACTTTTTAAAGACAGGGTCTCACTCTGTCACCCAGGCTAGAGTACAGTGACATGAACATGGCTCATTAGAGCATCAACTTCCAGGGCTCAAGTGATTCTCCCACCTCAGCCTCCCAGGTAGCCAGGACTACAGACATGCACCACTACACCCAGCTATTTTTTCAATTTTTTTGTAGAGACAGGGTTTCGCCATGTTGCCCAGGCTGGTCTCAAACTCCTGGCTTTAAGTGATCCTCCCACCTCAGCCTTCCAAAGTGCTGGGGTTACAGGCGTGAGCCCCTATGTTTGAGGATGGAGTACCATTTTCTCTTGGTGTGAGGCTTTGCACAGCAGCCCTGCTGATCTTCATGGAGGGCCAGTGCCTGGGGCAACCTGGGCCAGGAAACTCTGAATTTTCTTTTGAGAGATATGTTTGAGCTTGGTTTTCACATTAGCACAGGTTTCTTTTTAAGGCTTGTAGGCACCCATGCAAAGGTGATTATTTGTTTTCAAGGGTTTTGACCTTAGTATAAAAGCAGGTTTTTTGAAAGGCGGTGCAGTTCAGGTAGTGAGAGAACTGATACCCACCTTTCAGCACCCAAGGTCACAGACCCCCAGGCGGCAAGGTGTGCTCTCGAGGCAGGAGTCTATAGCCCTCCTTTGTATCTACATGCACACTTCCGTCTGGAGTTTCACTCCCAAGAGCCTGTTCTCTAGCTGCGGAATGAAAAGCTTGGCTGCATGACAGGAATTGAAGGCCTGAGGGAGCAGCCTGGGTGAGGCTGGTTTCACCGGGGGAAATGCTTCCTGCTCGTCTGCAGCTTGCCAGTGGCTGGCCAGCTCTGCCTGCTTCTAAAGTTCCTTTCTCGTGCTTTCCTTCACAGAGGTCCTTCCACCCTTTAGAGACTCTGATCTGATTATCCCCTGGGCTGCGGCTCCTCCCTCCTCTCCTTCCCCAGCTTTTCAAGGGAATGCTCAGAGTAGGTATATGGGAGGGCAGGCAGCTTTGTATCTAAGGGCACAAACAGCAGTAGGGTAAAAACAGCCTAGAGACAGCATCTGAGAGCCTTTGTGGGTGGAAATTCCACACCTAATAATAGGCACACGAACCGGGGGAGCCTCCTTTGGAATGCCACCTGTCCCGACAGTGAGCAGGTAGGCAAGCACTTAGCCAGCTGGGGGCACCTGCGGCACCAGGCCCAGCAGTGACACTTGGGAATGTAATTATGCGCACACTGGGATGAAAGGTGGAGATGTAGTTTTCGGAGAGGACAAGAGACCGTTCCCTGGAATAGGCCATTGTAAAGCCTATAAAGGAACAAAGCTACTGCTCTTGGTTCTCAGTAGAAATGGGCAGGTGCAGCAAGTCAGTGAGCCGTGATGGAACCAACCCGGATGACTTCAAAATAGCAGCACCTGGGTCTTCTGGTTCCCACTACCCACTCCCTAAAGGGGACCACACAGGAGTTTTCTCCCACACCTTTTGTGCTTTCCTGCTCGCTGGTGTCGCTCCTTGGGACTGACTCCGCTGCCTCTGCAGGAGCAGGTACCGTGCTCAGGCGGTAGATTGGGCCACAGATGTTTTTACTGGCAGTGCCTGGAGAAGGGGAGGGTGCAACCTACACTGGTTGGGAGGTGCAAGTGCGGAGTCTCTTTACCTTGGTCACTTGACACAACCTGCCACCCTGATAACCTGTTCACCTCAGCTTCCTGTCTTACCTGTGGCTTCAGTTCTGAGCCAGCGCATCTCTGAACTTTCCTGGGCCTGAAGAAAGGCCTCTTCTGTATGTGTGCCCCGCACATCACCTCTGGACACTGAGACAGGGCGGGTCTCTGACCTACTCTCCTTGGCGCTCGTTCACACGCTGCTCCCCAATGCACTCCTCTCTCTCTCGGGGCTTTCTGCCGGAACAATTATGTTCAATGGCTGCAGGCTGCCCTGGATTCCTTTCTACTGATTTGCAGCTGGTCAGTTAATCTGTTTCTGTCTGGGTTTCCTACAGCTTCTCTGATCTATTTCTAATTATTTGGCTTCTCAACTCACAGTTTCTCTAAGAAGCGTCTTTTTACTTTTCCTTTTTCTTTTTTTTTTTTTTTTTTTGAGACGGAGTTTTGCTCTTGTTGACCAAGTTGGAGTGCAATGGCATGATCTTGGCTCACTGCAACCTCCACCTCCCAGGTTCAAGCGATTCTCTGTCCTCAGCCCCCCAAGTAGCTGGGATTACAGGCACATGCCACCACGCCTGGCTAATTTTTTGTATTTTTAGTAGAAACAGGGTTTCACCATGTTAGCCACGCTGGTCTCGAACTCCTGACCTCAGGTGATCTGCCTGCCTCAGCCTCCCAAAGTGCTGGGATTACAGGGGTGAGCCACCGTGCCCGGCCACATCTTTTTACTTTTTATCCCAACCACAGAGGAATTTTCTCCCAGCTCTCAGGTGTATGTGCATTCTTAAAAGTCTTGTATACAGTGGTGGCTCTGAGATAACCCATGAAAGCACGTAGTAGGTGCTAATTATAATACATTTTACCTGGCACATAGCAGGTGCTAATTAAATTTTAACTCCCTTCCACACTCCTTATGGGCATACCCTTACAGATCAAAACATTTATTTTAGGAACTCATTTTCTCCCCACAAATCCACCATATTTAATAGGAAAAGCCAAAATAGTCAATCTCAGTATTATTTAGTTAGAAAAGGAATTGTATAAACCACAGTGTTAGTTGGGGTGAAATAGATTAAATGTTTCAGAACAAACTTGTATACAGTCCAGGAAACAGATGTTTATTACAAATAAAAAAGACCAAATATCTTAGGAGTCCTGGGGCTTGGTAACTAGCAAAATAAGAGCAATCTAAGAAGGAAAAATATCCCAAAAGTATTGTTGTTAAGACTAGGGAATCTGGCCACCTCATGCCTGTAATCCCAGAACTTTGGGAGGCCGTGGTGGGCAGATCACTTGAGGTCAGGAGTTCAAGACCAGCCTGGCCAACACAGTGAAACCCCATCTCTACCAGAAAATACAAAAATAAGCCAGGCGTGGTGGTGCACACCTATAGTCCGAGCTACTCAAGAGGCTGAGGCAAGAGAATCGCTAGAACCCGGGAAGTGGAGGTTGTAGTGAGCCAAGATCGTGTCACTGCACACCAGCCTGGGCAACAGTGCAAGACTCTGTTTAAAAAAAAAAACAAAAACCCCAAAAAACTGGGTAATCCCACAGAGCAAATTCTGATTCCTGGATTTAATAGTCATGGTTTCACATATTCACGAGGGACCTTGGAAGCTCATGACACCAGCTGTACAGGAAAGATGGGGATGGGACAGTGCTGGTGACTAGGGAGTGAGTCCTCATGGGCCACTCAGCACCTGGGAGTGGGTCAGCCTGAGTGTCCTCTGCCCTCCATCGTGGACACAGTCCTGCCTCTCAGGAAGGGAAGCAGACTAGGTCTCATTCTGGAAAATGACTCTCAAGTGAGAGGTAAAACTGGACTGAAAGTTGAGATGTTGATCAGTTCGTG